TAAAATTAATGAACTCTTCATGACATACTACTAATCACATATATCTAGCGTCGGCGTTTATATTTCTGATTGTCTCAAAAAAATTCTGCGTCGTTCTCAAGTAAAATTATCAAAAGAAAAATTTACAAGGAAAAGACTAAAAACGTAGAAAAAATCACTACCCTCTTGGGGATTTTTTTTTAATGAATAATAATACTTTAATTTTAAATTGGATATTGTTTGTTTTAGTTGAATAAAAATGTGTTACACAAAAAGTGCTTAAATTGTTTAATCTGTTTTTAAACCAGAATATCTTGAAATACCAGTAGCTATCATGTTAATAAAAAAAAATAATTGATTTGCTATCCGATATTCAAAATTTTCAATTGACCTACGAGTTTAAATAAAAAATATTCATTTTATCCTCTTACTTATTAGGGATATTTTTTGGAATATATCTTTCTTCAAATAGATATATGTTTTTAAAATTATTTTTAGATCCAAAAATAAGTGTTTTCTACATTTCGCATATTTATCTATATATATATATATTAATATAGAAGTGAAAAAAAGAGGATATCTTTATTTGAACATCGTTTTAATGCTACGATAAAAGGAATAGGTGATTTGTACTTATAAATACAAGATATTTTATTATGTATAATAATGGCATTTTAAATTTTTTTTTTTTTTTACAGATTCAACCTTACAAGTGGGTAAATCCCCGTTTAAATGTAAGTATTTAATTCAAAAAATTAAATAATTTTTAAATATTCGTTAATTTTGACTGCAGAATATCTTGTATCGCCATCTTTATTAAAAGCAAACTTTCTTTTACAGCAATATAAGTGGGTCAATCCCAAATTTAATGGTAAGTACTTCTCATTTATTAAATAACATTAATATATTCTTTAAATGAAAAATATCTCGTAACGTAATCTTCATTAACAACCACAATTTTTATAGAAATTTTAGTCACAAAAAAAGAATCCAATATAAATGGAGCTTTTTAATATTCAGTGTTAAATTCTTTATATTTTGGCATTTTATTAAAAAAGCATACCAGTAAGACATTTTCGCATATTTTAAAGTCAATGGCTAAATTATGATCCTCTTATAAATTTATTAAATAAAAATTATAATAAATATATTCATAATTATGTTTGTTCTCACTAAAATATTTCTATGGTTGAAAAACTTTTCAAAACTAATTTACGTAAACTCTAATTTTTTTTAATTTTTTATTTAATTTTCAGAAATGCATATAGTTTTTTCTGTAATTACTGTTTTCAATTCATGAGTTTATATATTTATTATTCTTATGCTTTACAGGAAAAAGAAATCAAACAAGTAGCAGAAAACGAGCAAAAAACAAGGAGCAAAAAAAAGGAGCAGAAAATTTCAATGGTACGTATTTAATACTTGTTTTTTGTTTGATTACTTTTATTATTGCTAGTGGAAAAAAATAAATAAACAGAATCTTAAACGCGCTTGAGAAATAAAAATGTGTTTCGTAATAACTGTTAAATTGTTCGTAAACATCAAAATTTAATAAAATTGTTTAATACAAAAATCAGATTAATTGCAAACTATCTATTTTCCTTAAATATTAAAGCAAGAGTCATTGAGATTTTTTAATTAAAATGCCTTTAAATGTCAAGTCTTTATCAGAAAAGGTAAAATCATTCTAAAAATATTTTCATATTTTTCTTCTTTAATAATAAATATCTGCTTTTTCAGAGCAATTTTTTTTTTCTCCAGGACAAACTAGTATTGCCTTAATGTTAAATTATTTTGATATCGATAGAACTTTAATATTAATTACCTTTAATCTATTAATTTTGCTTTTAAAATACTTATTAATAGATTTCTTCCTTTTAATTTTCATTTCGTTTTATATTTGATTTATAAGTCCCCAAATTAATAGTATTTTTTCTCTATTTTCAGAGGAGAAATCAGAATAGAAGATTTTTTTGTCCGGTGGGAGTTTTATCCGGTTTCCTCCCATCCTGAGCGCAAATGCGGGACATTGTTATACTTAAGACCTCCCGGAAAGGCAAATAAAATTTAAATAAAAGTGTTTTTCTAAAAATTATTATGTCTTTTTCTCTCATTATAGCATTTTCATACAGAATCTTATTTGCACATCTTTTCTATTCTAACAATTGTTTGTTACAAATGTAACAATTTAAATTTATTTCGTCAATTAAGGTTCATGTAATTATTTATTGGGATATCTCATAATCCGTTTATTAAGCTTAAATTAATCTATTAATAATTATTTACTATGCTAATTACTTTAATTTCATTTTAACTAAATGTAAAGAAATTTTAGTAAATGTTTTATTTGAGGCGTATATGAACAACTTTTTAAATGCTAATTTAATTTCTTTTTTTTTAAATTAATTAATAACATATCTTATGCTAATTTTTTGTTCAGTTTATAATGTTGTAAAAATGAATACTGCTTGTATTGCAAAATTAGCTATGCACTCGTTCATTTCATATGGTTTAAAATTCGTCGTTTTCAAAACTGTCTTTAAAGAAGCATTTTATATGAGATATTTTAAAAATAGCAGAAAAAAAAAAACTAAATTAAAACTTATTCTTTGAGGGTATTACAAAAAGGAAGAAGATTTTCAAAACATGAAAGTTTTTCTATTAAATAATTATATATTATTATGGTAAAACAGATTTTAAAACTTTGCTTTTAATCTAGAATATATTTAATACAATTTATTCAATTATCAATATAGCAAAACTTTGAAATAATTGGGGTAAATTTGCGATATAAAAGTTTTTAAATTAATCTGTAATTTGCTCAAGAACTATTTTCACTATTTTTAATCTGAAAAAATATAATCTTTGATATAATTGCCACAATTATTCAGAATTTTTTTAAATAAATATATTGTAGACAAACGTTTAATGGTGTTGCATATGAAAATTAGCTTGTAGGAATTAAAAGAAATTTCAAATTATGCATACGACTTCTGAAAAATTAATTAAAATATCTTCATTTGAGTGATAAATATCTTTTGGGAAGTTATATTTTTGGAACTTTTTAATTAAGTTGAAAGTTTAGTGTTTATATAGTTAATAAATTGCTCAAATTACTAGCTTAAACCTTTCTCAAATGGAAGCAGGAACTGAAGGGTAAAACAGCTTACGAGTTATCAAACTGAATATCAGGGAACATAATAATTTAAACAACTCTAAAAGTTTTAAAAATAAAATTATTGAATCTTTAACAACATTGTACTAATCTCCTAGATTTAAAATCTGCGTCTATGTTGCTGATTCCCTCGAACAAATTGAACATATTCGTCCTTTTTAAAGTAAATGATATAAAAAATTGCAAGGTAAATCTAAAATTATAGAAAAAGGCATTACTTCTGAATTTAAAAAAAAAAAAAAAAAAATATCGAATAATTATGCTTTTTATTTTAAACCGGAATAAATATACAGGACTCTGGTACAAAATACAGACTGGTGGTGCCATCTTCCGTCCAAGAAAGTTAATAAAGTATTAATGAATTCCAAGAAAGTTAATAAAGTATTAATGAATTGCTACATATATATATACACATCATTCACACCCACATGCTCATACATACACATATATATATATATGCTATATACGCACATGCATATTGGGAGTGGTGAGGTAATTTAAAAACAAATGAAGAAACAGGGTGTTTTTTATTCTAGGCATTTTTAATTAAATTCTACTGTATTTACAATAATTAATTATTCTGGACTATATAATTCTGTTCTTTCGCTACGTGGTGCAACTAATGTAGTAAATGTAGAAAACTAAAAATGTAGCTAATGTAGAAAACTAAAAATGTAGAAAAAGCCATTAATTTTTTAAACGAGTAACTATTAATAGTGCTTTTTATTTTAAATTGGAATAAACACGACTCTAGTACAAAATACAGACTAGTGATGCTGTCTAATAAAGTAATGAAATCCTACAGACACACGCATTATGTACACATGCACATGCTATATACACATAAATATAGGATGTGGTTGGTGTCTATGGGGGTAATTTAACAACAAAGGTGTTTGTTAAAGGTGTAGGGCATTTGTTTTCAAGCCATTTTTAATTAAATTCTACTGCATTTACAATAATTAATTATTCTGGATTACATAAGTCCATTCATCAACATTTCCAGTAACTATTGGTGCAGCTATCCGCTCTCATCAACTGCCAACCTGGCTCTGATCTGCGAGCTCCCCATTCCTTCCATGAGAGGTTGGTTGGTTATTGGGGTTTAATGGCACAAGAGCCAGATTTGGCTATGCTGCGCCAAACAAATTCCATGAGAGGAGATGGTATCGTCCGACACATAACAGTCCAGTGATATCTTCTGCTAACTGGATTAGCTGCCAAACAAATCCTACATACACTTATACATGCTGTACATATATGTATACTACATTATATAACTAAATATATATAAAATGCTACATAACATATATAATATGCAAGTTTCGGAATCAAACTTTTAAATTACATAACTGCTAAACAGTGACATATAGTAAGATGAAACATGTAGTGTGCAAGATAAATTTTAGAATTTAAAAAAAATCAGTTTGCCATCTGAATTTTTTTTTTTTTTTTCGTTCTAATGCAGCTGGCAAACACTTAATCTTGGATGCCTTAAGGCAAGCACTGCGCAGACATTACTTATCACTACCCAGTAGGTGCGTGTAGCTTGAAGATAAGCTACGGACGCGGAGTAACAATACCCCCTCAACACTCTACGATCATGTTAGACCGGGGCCTACGATTTAAAGCGGATTCCGAATCACTACAAACATCCATGGCACCAACGGGACCCGAAACCTGTGGTACCGAGCGCCTCGGCCATTCAGCCCCGCCATCTTAAAGTTATTTCTCAAATAGGTTGATAATGCTATACGATGTAAGCTATTTATTAACGAAAGTATGAATGATATTTTATTTAAAAAATTAAAATTTGAAAGAGGAATTAACAACTCATATGCCAACTGCCGTACCATGCTGAATATACGCGGTTCTCGTTAGATCACCGAAGTCAAGCATCATTGGGCGCGGTCAGTACTTGGGTGGGTGACCACCTGGGAACACCGCGTGCCGTTGGTAAATTTGGGACCTGAATGGCCGAGTGTCTAGCGCTCTGGCGCTCGGTGCCACAGGTTTCGGATTCAAATCCCGGCGGTGCCATGGATGTTTGTAGTGGTTCGGAATTCACTTTAAGCCGTAGGTCCCGGTCTCCTATGACTGTAAGAGCGTCACGGAGCCAAAGTCAGGCTTCTACCTACGGGTGCTCCATCACAACAGAAGCTGCTTCCTTCTCCTTCAATCATGAGTACGTATGGGTTCGTGGGCTTGGCCAGCCAAGTGGGATAAGAAACAACAACAAACAACAACACAACTCATATTAATAACTTGAAATCCGTTTTATATAATTTAATAATTTTAAATATTATTTGAAATTATGAACATCATTTATTTGAAAATTATAATGAATTAGGCCTAAATTTGAGTTACAATAGAAAAACGACTTTCCATAAGTGATGCATTAAAGAGAATTGTTTAAAAAGTGGGGGCCACATTTCATGAAGAACTGTCCTACTTTCGGATTAAATGAAAATCCTACAAGTATATATTGGGAAACGAGAGGATACCTCGAAGTCTGCAAAATTCTCCCCCCCCCCTAGCTTGCAATCAAACCACCCAAAGGTGTCAAGCTTCCCCAGGTAGAAGCTTCAATGCATGACCGGCCTCTTCGAGATAAACGCAGACCGTCCGCCCACTTGCCAATGAGACACCCCTAAGCAGCTGAAAAAGCCATAGCGTACATAGGACAGCAGCTTGACATTATTTAATACCCTAGTAGCTTAATGTCTATAACGTAACGTAGGTATTTAATTTAACGTAGGCATTTAATGTAGTATATAACGGTATTTAATGTAGTATATAACGTAAATAAAATCATACAATCTTTGTTATATATTCGTTTGACAAATTGTGTGAAATATCTTGCCTTAACAAACTTTTAGTTGTATAAATTAAATATTTCAAAGTATTTTTAATGTAGTATTTAATGTAGTATAATCTAATGTTATTAGTATATAGCGCACTTAGTATATAGGCTGGTGGGCCTTTTCACTTGTACCAGAGTGTGCAGCCACATCGCGTTTAGCTAGCTAAGTGTATGCAGCGCATCGCTTTTAACCTCTTCCCTGTTCCCGTTTTCAAATTTTATTTACTTTTATTCAGTTCCTTCTATTTGCTCACACTCTCCCTATATACACTCAAGAGCCAAAACATTATGACCACCTGTCAATAGCGAGTTGGCCCACCTTAGGCTCGCAACACAGCTTCAACCCGCCTAATATTGCGAATTGGTGGTCTTTGAACTCTAAGCAGCCGTCCCAGGACATCCCAAATGTGTTCTATCGGATTAAGATCCGGTGAGTTAGGCAGCCAGGACATTAACTGGAATTCAGCATCATGTTCCTGGAACCACTCCAACACAATTTTAGCCTTGTGACAAGGGGCGTTGTCCTGTTGGAACATTCCATTTCCAGCTGGAAAAACAGAGGCCATGTAAGGGGGAAACTGGTCCGCAATGATGTTCAGATACCCTGTAGCATTCATAGTCTGCTCTACCACAACCACGGGTTACAGAGACGCCCAAGAGAACGTCCCCCAAAGCATAATACCGCCACCACCGGCTTGTGTATGACCTATTGTACATTGAGGGAGCAACTGTTCGCCCGGAAGACGGCGTATCCTGACACGGCCATCGGCGTGATGAATGACAAACCGTGATTCATCTGAGCAGGCAACTCTCTCCCACTGATCCATGGACCAGTCACGATGTCCCCGGGCCCAGCGCAGGCGCAGTTGGCGATGACGCTTGGTCAGCAAAGGCACACGAGTGGGATGTTTGCTGCGTAGCCCCATATCCAACAGTGCCCGCTGAGAGTGTGCTCCGATACTATTCTACTTGGCCCTGCATTGTATTGGGCTGTCAGCTGATCCACTGTCTGGCTCCGGTTTTGCTTCACCATGCGAGGCAGTCTCCGCAGACCTTTTCTTTGATAGCGTGTGGACGTCCAACACCATGTCATCTACTGCTGGTTTCACCGTCATTCATCCACTTTGCATAAGTACTAACAACTGTAGATCGCGAACAATCGCGGAAATACTTGTTCCGAGCCTTCGAGCCATTACAATCTGCCCTCTATCAAAGTCGCTTAGATCCGCAGCCTTTCCCATAACACACAGAAGTAAGTGAAAGAATGATTCTTCACGACGACGACGATTTGTAGGTTGACGGAGCTCCTTGGTTTTTAGATAACCGTTAACTCCTTCTTTGCATATGAAAGGGAAGTTACTTTAGCTTTAAGCCCATTGCATTAGTAATAAACAATTAAAATAGAGAAAATAATAAATGTAGAACAGAAGTTTTTTTTTTTTTTTTTTTTTTTTCAATAAAAGTATTTAAAAAAAAAAAAATAAATAAAAATAAAAAAAAAGTTAAAGAGTAATTTGAAGAATTACAAACTGAAAGTAGTTAAAAAACGTTCCAGAACAGTTTGTTAAGAGAGAATGAAATGGTAATGACGGGGAAAATCTGTGAATCGTACAAGGTCAGTTGAATGTGAGTGATGGAAGATCAGAGCCTGGAGGGAAACGAAAACGTTTCGACTATTCAAGCAGCAGCAGGGAGGGGGAAAAAGAGGTGCAGAGTGCTTTTTAGTAAGCAAATAAAACCAGTGGGAAGAAAGCAAATCAATGGAGCAGCTGCGGGGTGATCCAGAAAGGAGGATATCAATGCTATTGAGTAATGTTCAGAACAGCGCGAGGTCGTTTGCGGTTTTTAAAAAGAGAAATGTCGTACTCGTAATTCCCAAGATCTTTTAGAACAGAGTTGTTTATATTAGGAATGGAATTATAGAAATTTTTCGCGATTTTGTGTACAAATTGTCTAAAACTAGGAATTGAAAGTGCATGTCTGATATCCTCGTTTCTGAAGAACCAGCGCGAATTTGTGATCATTCGAATGATTTTATTTTCTAACCTCTGGATGACCTCAAAATTTGACCGAGCCGTTGATCCCCAAACAGGACTCGCATATGCAAGTATTGGACGCAAGTAAGCAAGATATACGAGTTTATTTTCCAGAGACATAGCAGAATTTCTACAGATTAGTGGGTACAAAATGCGAATGCAAGTATTAAATTTATCCCTGAGGTAGTTAACATGAAGAGCATAAGTTAATTTGCGATCGAGAATAACACCCAAATATTTAGCCTGCCCAGTCCAAGTGATAGGATTATTATAAATTTTTATGGTTGGATTATTAAAAACCCTTTTATGCGTAAACAGTACTGCTTCAGTTTTCTCAATATTTAATTGGATTTTCCATTTAGTGAGCCATGATTCAAGTTGATTAATGTAATTTTGAAGATTTTTGCTGATAATCTGATGCTTGCGACCTTGGGTGAGTAAAGCAGTGTCATCTGCGAAGAGGCTAATTTTAACATTATATATTTGCGGGACATCATTGATATAAAGATTGTATAGAAAAGGGCCAAGGATAGAACCTTGGGGAACACCAGCCTGAATATTTTTGACAGAAGAGTCAGTATTGTCTATAGAAACCACAAAAGTTCTATTAGAGAGATAATTTTGAACGATTTTAATCAAAAAGGGAGAGAAATTGAAAATAATTAACTTGTGAATTAATCCATTCACCCAAACTCTATCAAATGCTTTAGCTACGTCGAGAAAAACAACAGCAGTGTCTAACTTCCAGGAAAAACCTTCGGAAACAGTTTCAGTTATATTGAGTAGCTGGTGAGTTGTGGATAACTTCTCAGTAAAGCCAAATTGCTGAGGGATGAGTAAATTTTTCTGACTAGTTTCTATTTTGAGATAGTTTAAGATAATTCTTTCAATAATTTTGCTGAGTGAGGAAAGTAGAGAGATTGGCCTGTAACTGGAAGGGGAAGTAGGGTCTTTTCCTTTTTTGTAAATAGGCAACACTCTGGCTCTTTTCCAGCAAGTGGGAAAGTATGAATGAAAAATAATTGAGTCCGCAATTTGGCAAATTTTGAATATAGCTTTTAACGGGAGATTTTGAAGCATTTTATTAGTGATAGTATCTATGCCAGGCGTTTTGTTAATTTTTAAATCAGTAATGATATCGATCACTGTCGAAGCTTTAGTATTAGCTACCTGAGGAGTAAAATTTGTAGAGTTAAAATACATGATTGAGTCAGAGACAGCTTTACTATTAAGAGGATCATGAACATTATTTTCCTGAAACTGCTCCTGAAGGCTGTCTGCCAAAATTTCGGCTTTTTGAGTATTAGTTGTAGCTGTGCAGTTGATAGTTTTTAGTGTATGAATGATGCATTTTTCCTTTTAAAACCCTTCAGAAGTTTCCAGAAAGTACCATCTTGGCTGTTAACGGTTTGAATATGATTATTCCAAGAGGTATGCTTATATTCAGATATAGCTCTACGGACAAGTGCTTGAGCGCGATTATAGTTTGTTTTACTGCGTGGGTCTCTGTAAATTTGCCAGGTTTTACGTGCGCGGTTTCTTTGAGTCATTAAAATTTTTACGTGAGGAGGTAAATAGTTACTATTAGTAGAAGTAATGTGTTTAGAGGAAGAGTTATGAGCATAAATAATAGTGTTAGTGAAATCAGTTACTTCATTTTCGATATCTTGAGAAGAATTAATATTATAAACAAGATTTTTATCAAGGGTGTTAATGATTCTTCAGACTCTCCAGCAGCAGTTAAATACCACTTCGACCTAATCACGTGCCTTCCACGTCATCCAGGCGAGTTCATTGCAAGATGTAGAGGTGGTCATAATGTTTTGGCTCTTGAGTATATATGTCTTGTTCAAATTTTCAATCGTTCATAAAATACTTTTTATTCATCCACTCAAGTTGAAATGCATTTTTTTAAAACTTGTATGATGACACTGGATGTTAATACAGTTTTTTCGACCATTAAGTCAGTGATTAAATTTAATTAATTTTTAGTTTTCTTTAGATTTAAGTTGTATATATTTACCAATAGATGGCGCCAATAGAGATAAAAATGAA